TTATATCGAACAGCCCTATTTTATTATTTGTATTACTGTAGAAAGAGGGTGAGTCATGTGATTGCATGCTGATTGAAAATGCATATTTTGTTTTGCTTTTTTTTTTTTGCAAAACAAAATATGCATGGGACATGTTTATAAATCCCAATAAAAGTCTCACTGAGCATTGGCCTGTAGTAGAACGAATATATTAAAATAAGCCAGAAGACTTGCATCAAAGAAACTGACACCACCACTGGTAGGGAACACCAAAAAAAAAAAAGAAAGAAAAGAAAACGGGGAACAAAAACAAACAGGCCATCAAAGCAGAACAACCATGAGTCAGGGGTTATGTGGCAGGACCTGACACATCAGCTTGGTCAGGCAGGAGATGCTTCCAACAAGGCAAATTAAACATTTCACCAGCAGTAGGCCGTCACTCGTTCCTCCCTGTCAGTACCTCAGAGTGTCTTTTGTGTGCCACAGCAGACATCAAGCTTTGTGACATCCTGTGGTTCGATCCTGTAGCTCTAATGAGCTTGAATGAAGACACTGACACAAAGAGTTGACCTCAAAGGATTCTGACAGATAAAAAACAGAATGATCAGCTGCCTAAACTCTTATAAATGTCAAAAAAAAAAAACCTATTTCCCCACTATCTGACACCAGACAAAATTTATGCAGCTGCACAGGAAGAATAGTAATTTTACTGACTTTTACCAAAGCTTTAATGAGCAAAACAAAATATTTTTCACAACTGCAAATGTAAAAACAGTCATTTTAAATGGTGCTAAATCAGTTCAAATGACAAAATGTGACATTTGCACAGAGCTGAAGAATAACAAAAACTGCACGGCGGCATAAGTGACGAGCTATCGGCCACACGGCTCAAACTGTATTCTTACATTTAATATTACAGCACGAGGTTTAAAATAAAATACTCAACTCACTCCTGTATAATTGTGTTTATTTTGGGGGAAGTAAGATAAAATTCTCCTTTCAGTCATTATTCTGGTAAATTTGAGACAAAACAAACCGATTTTTGTACCACTCAGTGTGACCTACATTTCTTAAAAGTAGGAACCATTTTTTTAAAAACAGACTCTTTTCACAAGCGAGTCACCCATTAGTTCCCAGAATTCATATTTAAACTTTAGAAATCATACTGTATACATTATTTATATTTTACCTTGTCAAATCAATAATTTCCCACCATCTAAGTCTCGTGGCGTGTAAACACAGCTATGTGAGAACTTATCTTTTCACGTTTTGCATTTAAAATGCAAGCAGCGTCTCTGGAGCACATTGTAGCGGCTAATTATTCTTTGACTTTTATTTTCTAGTTCAGTCTCGAGATTTCTGCTCCACAAGCCGACCTGTCTCTGTCACTGAAACCGCCCAGCAGGTCAAGTGTTTGTTGACGGTTTTGCTTGACCTGCGTCGAGTCACGGTTTCATCATCACGGCGCTCTGTGAATCGAAGCCGGGGGTGTGTTTGCTCTGAAACAGACGGCGCTTGAACTTCACAAGGCCCTGTGTGTCATCTTGGCTCCAATTACTGGAGGTTAGCTACCTGCAGGGTTCCCTCACAGCAGCTCTGTGCCTGAAATCAGGTCAAACTGTGTGAAGTAAAGTTTAGTGGTTGCAAAGCTTTGATGTCCACGACCACTTTTTTTATTAATTATGTGATCAGTTGTGCGAAAGACAAAGTTTGTCTCCAGTTTACTCTTCAATTCTTTTCATAATACTTTAATTCTTTATGTTTTACCACTGTTTTCCAATTGATGACAGCTAACTGCTACTACTTTCTCTACAGATTTATTAAGGCTTATTTGTGATTTAGCATCCAATAACCCAGCTAAAGCCGAATGTCTAAATCTTCTTTATTAACATGAAAAACAACAGATTATATTTCTCAATACATATTTTCTGTGGTTCTTATGTCTGTTCTGTGAATTATTGCAGTGAAAAAGTCACTTGTATCATGTTCATAAATGATTAAACTAGTGATAAAACTCAACTAGGTTTACAAGGAGCCATTGATGGATTGCAGCCACACAGCATTA